ATTGAGAGAGAGATTGAGAGATTGAGAGGGATTGGGAGAGAGATTGAGAGATTGAGAGATTGAGAGATTGAGAGAGAGATTGAGAGGTTGAGAGAGAGAGAATGTGAGAGAGAGTTGAGAGAAGAGACAAAGGGAGACAAACAAAAGAAAAACCAGTACTAAATTCTTTTGTCCAAGCTTGCATCCTCCCTCTCTACTTGACCCACATCACACGACCACTCTCTACGCACAACGATAAAGGCCACCCAATTCTTGAGTATTGCCAACACGCACTTACACACTCTCTGCATCCCCAACCCCATTCTCTCTCTCTCTCTCTGTCTGTGTTTCTCTTGTTGTCCGTGACGACCAATCTCTCTCTCTGTGTCCTCTGTCTCTGTTGTCTCTGTGTCTCTGTCTCTCTCTCTGTCTCTCTCTGTCTCTCTGTCTCTCACACACACACACACACTCTCTCTCTGTCTCTCTCTCTCTGTCTCGCGCTCGGTGTGTCTCTTGCCTTGACAGGCACAAAATAGCATTTGCGAGGGCATCGTGAGTTGTGAATGAATGGACGAGGTGCGTGTTCCTCCCTCCCTCTCCCTCTCCCCTGTGCTGCCAATGACTTTGAACCACCCTTTGTACGGCGGTGTTATCCCCCGGACACCGCTTTCTTCCCCCCCTCCCCCACAGCTTTTACCTGCCTCTGCCTTTTTTGCCTCTCGCTCTGCCATCTCGGTCCAAACCAAATGTCTTCGCCGCCCGTTGCTTGTTGCCTGTTCCCATGCTTTGCCTTGGTTTCCATCAGCCCGGTCATTCACAGCCTCCTGGTTTCGTTGGGCACTTGTCCCATCCCCGCCTCTCCTTCCCGCCCCGTCCGCCCGCCCACCCTTGGATGCCACATGCACCACCACATCCATTGCCACCCCGCTCTCCCATGTTTCTTCTGCTCTTGCGTTGCCAAGTTGTCTTTATCGACTGCCTGCTCACCCTGCCGTGTTCAAACGCCTCCTTCGACCACCCTCCTCCTTTACCTTGACCACATATCATCATATCATCTCTCTCTTCCCCTCGTTTTTCCCCATGCTTTTCGCCTGCCATTCATGCTCTTGTTCTTTAGCCTCTGCCCTTTTCTCTCTCTTTTTTGATCAGAAAAACCATTTTGTTCGTTTTTTTCTTGCTTTTTTTTTTTTTAAACACAAGTCAGCAGAAGACACGCGTTAACCAAGCCTGGGCGCAAACTTTGCGAGTCTTTGGCCTGCTCGTCCCCAGCTACCCACGTTTTTGCATTCGCTCACGCTTCTGTGAATTGCCACTGCCTTCCTACCCTTTGTTTGTGCATGTATTTCACAGTGCAGTGTGACAGCAAGTTGCGCACAACCTCCTTCGCCACTTTTGAAGGCTTTTGGACGGCACAGTGTGTCTGAGCGTCACGCAGTTCTGTGCTGCGTGCCTTCTTTTGCCGATTGGTCAAGCCTGTCTGCGTATCCCGTCGTGACAGGCACCTGATCCAGCACTTGACAGCCTTGAGGTCAACTTCTCTCCCTTCCCCCAGCACGCGCTGTGGGGCGTCTGCGCAGGGCGTATGCCGTTGCCCCACGCATCAACCATCCCCCTTGGGGCGGGCCGCGCCGGTAACATGAATCCTCCATTGGAAATGCCCGAATCGAGTTTTCAAGGCTCAGCGCTGGACCAGCTCCGCAGTATGCCAGACTCGGGCTTTCAAGGCTCAGTGATGGACCAACTCCGCTCTGGTGCTGACCCCATGGACTGGATGACCGAGAGCTTTTCTGATGCCGAGTCGGATACCTCAGAAGTCAGCTTTGGCGACCCCAGCGTTCAGATTCTCGAGAGCACCACCTCTCCATTTGCTCCGGTAGGCCCATCAAGCACACCTCTTGCTTCCCAGTTTTCATTGTCTTTACCCCCCCCGCCCCCCCATATTGATAATGTTGGCGATGATTTCCTCTTTTGGCATTCTGTGTCTCATCTATCCAACTGGGCGTTCCCCGCCTTTTCAGGTCATTGGTCTGCTTCAGTCCATTCTCGATGAACATCCGCTCGAGCCAGTCGACATCTTCGAAAGCAGGTTGGTCCATCTTCTCCTCAACCTCGCAGCTTCTGAGCCCATCCGATCCATCGTGCCCACAATTGGCCCTGCTCTCTTCAACGTTTTTGTATCCCACCCCGTCCTTGATGCTTTTCTTCTCCTTCTCCCTTTTCTCCTTCTCCCTCTTCTCCTTCTTCTCCTCCTTCTCTGTTTCTCTGTCTTCTCCTTCTTCTTCTTTTCCTTATTATTCTCCTCCTCCTCCTTCTTCGTCTCCTTGTTCAGATTGCCATTCGCCGAGCGACAAATCCCTTCCGAAGAGGATTCAACCCCGACACGCCTCAAGTGGTGCATTGACTATCTCAAGCAGCAAAACATTGCCCGCACAGCACACAATGAGGTCGGTTTCAGTTTATCATGGGCTAATCTTTGTCCAGCCAAATAGATGTGCGGTTTTTGGCCTCACACTTGCTCCTTTTGGCCCTGGGTACACCCGTCGTAGGTGAACCGGATCCTGCAGTCGAAGCTTGATCGTTCCGGCATGGACGAGAGCATGAAGCGCTGGGTTGAAAGTTACTCAGACGCTGACAATCGCCGGCGTCGCTCCATTCGCCGGCGCCTTTCTCCCATGCGCCGATCTTCAGGCAGCCGGTATACCTTCCGCTCCTTGCCCGTCATCTTTTCTTGCTTTCACCTGCTCTTCAACGTCTTGCAACTTGTAAATGCATGCCTTTGGCACCTCAGACTCATGCTTCTTGGTCTCGTTTTTTTTTTTTTTTTTTTTTCCTAATAAAACGTTCGCTCAGTCTGTCAGTGGATAGTATAAAGTCCCGTAGTGCTAGCGAAGCCATGCTCGTGCGTCGGCTGTCAGCCACCATGGGCAATCCATCCCGGGGTATGGCGATGGACATCGACTTTTCCCAGTCGGCTGACCCTTCCCTTTTCAGCGCTCTGCGCCAGCGTCGACGCATGTCCCAGATCACGGAAGAAGATGAGGTCTCTTGGTCACAAGTCCGGAGTAATCGTCAATCCCAGGATGCGGTCCTTCCCCGGTCTTTGCGCTCTCCCAATTCTCCGCGCTCTCCACGATCCCCTCGCTCGCCTGGTCTGCCTCACGAGGTACGCGTTGTGCAGTCACTTGCGTTGGGGAGTCACTTGCTTTGTGGACACCCGTCACAGTTCCCCGTTTGTCTCCCGTCTCATCTGACCCGGTCCTCTGACGCTTTGCCATGGCAACATCACGTAGCAACCCAGTGCTGCTACATCCGAGTCGACGTTGGAGTTACTGGCCCTGACACCGCGCATGACGACAACCGAGCCGCGTTCCTCCCAGCCCTCTTCACAGCCGTCGTCACCCCACCTGTTGCACACCGAGTCCTCTGGCCGCAACAGCGATCCAGCCATCTTCACGTTTCGCCGTGGCAACGAGGATGGTGCTACTCGTGAGCGCCACAATAGCATCGACGCCAAGTCGGGTACCGGGATCGTTCTGGCTCGCGAGGTGATCACTTCTGCACGCGCCAGCATGGCCACGACCTTGAGCACCGGTACTGCCGTCTCGACCGAGGCTGTTTCGCCCAGCAACACCAGCATGGTGGTCCCGACTGCCAACGATCGCACTCAAAGCGGTTCTCCACGTACCTCACCCCTTCTCATGCGAGGCCAGACCGTTGACGATGGTAGCAAAGCTCCGCTGACCTCCCAATCTTCTGAAAAGACACTCATCGAAAACGGCGTCGCCGAAGCCAACGGCGAGGGCGCCGCTCCCGCTAGCAATATTGGTAGCAATCGGGGCTCCTTGCGCCAGCTTCGGCCCAGCATTGCCCTGACTCACACCAACTCGACTGACGAGGATGACATGCTTCGAGTGGCGCGAAAAAGCTCTTCATTGCCGCCAAATATTCCTGCCATGGCATCTGATCTCAGTGTTACTCGCTCGTTGGCTACGCGTCCCATGCGTCTTCAAGGCAATACCACCCGCGTTGTGCGCTCCTTTTCCACGCGCAGCAGCCGGGCCGTTCTTGAAAACCCGTTGGTGGACTTTGATGACAAGTGCTTGGACTTTCTCGATGGCATCCGCGATTGGGGTCTGGACATTTTCAAATTTGTACGTTGGCTCGTGTTGACGGCACGGTGGGCCCCATCGTCATTTCGTTTTTGCGAATTCTGACTCGTTGATCTTGTCTACAGGAAAGCGTGGCGGCCCACCGACCACTCGTTGGGATTGCCATGCAAGTTCTATCTGAGCGCAATCTTTTCGACAATCTTGGACTCGATAAGGTTTGATCTTGCGCCTGTTGCCTGCCCTTTCGCTCGTGTTTGTTTGGTCCTTAAACCCTTTCTTCTTTGTTAGAATGCTTTCTTCTTGTTTGAATGTGCCTTATTGTTTGCCTTGTTTGGCGTCTTGTTCGCCCTCTCTCCGTGTCGTGGTTTTCTCACTTGCCTTGCGTCTTTTTTTAGAGCACGGCGGCACGCTTCTTTGCGCGCCTCGAGGATGGCTACGGACGATATCCTGACGTTCTCTACCACAACAATCTGCATGCCGCTGACGTCACGCACAGCACCTTCCTGCTCATGGAAGCGCCCATTGTGCGCAATTGTCTCAACGATCTCGAAGTCCTTGCTGCCGTCATCGCTGCGGCTGGACACGACGTGGGTCACTTTGGGTTCAACAATACGTTTCTGGCAGCCACCTCCGCCCCCTTGGCCATTCTGTACAACGATCAGGTGAGGTGTCCTTGTCAAATTCTCGCTGTCCCTTGGCACCATAGCACTTCTCGTGGGTTTTGATGTGCGACTTGGATACAAGTCGCGATATTGCCGATCTTTTCTCACCTTTTTCTTTTCTCTTCAAACAGTCAATTCTGGAGAACCATCATGCAGCAACCTCTTTCAAGCTCATGCAGGAAGAAGGATGCAATTTGCTGGCCAACCTCGAGGCGGACCTGCGAACAACCGCGCGTAGCTTGGTGATTGATATGATCCTCGCGACGGATATGGCCAAACACTTTACCTTCCTTGCGGAGTTCCGCTCCTTCGTTGAGCGCATCAACAACACCAGCTGCCGTGACCTCACGGATCTTAGGTAAGGAAGGCCTGTGCCAAAGCGGTGTCAACTTTCAACCTCGGGCGATGCATACGAGTGAGTGATCCACATTCTTTCTTGCAACAATGCTCAATTTTTTTTTCTATCCCACCCTGCTTTGCCTATGACTGAAGCGATGAGGACCGTCAGCTGTTGCTCCAAGCCATTGTTCATTGCGCTGATCTGGCTGGTCCCACCAAGCCGTTTGCCATCTCCAAGGTTCGCTTCGTCGTCATTAGCTCATTGGCTATCCAGCAGCCTCACGCAATACACGTTGCATTGCGCTGGCTCATTGGATTGCCCGTGATGTTCAGGTTTGGGCCGAGCGCATTGTCAACGAGCTCTTCCGTCAGGGCGATCGAGAGCGCGAGCTGCAGCTGGAAGTTGGGCCCATCAACGACCGCGACAAAACCAATCTTCCAACCTCCCAAATTGGCTTTATAGACTTTATCGTAATGCCGCTCTGGACCACTTGGTATGAGCTGGTCGGCGAGGAGCCTGATCAGAGTCCAATCGAGGTCTGTTCCATGCTGCCCCCTCCGGGGATCAACCTTGCATTATTTTTTGCGTACCCTGCGTGGGAGGATTGCGCTCACTGGGTGCTGACAACCCTCCTTTTTTAGAATATCACGGCCAATCGTGCCACCTGGCAGGAGCTGAAAGACAAGGACGAGCGAAGTAGGTCTTTCATGCAAGCTATCAATATGCTCTTTTTCTCTCGTTTGCTTTCGTAAACTGATGCATGTTGGGCCAATTTTTTAGCTTCTCCTTTGGCGCGACGCCGCACAGGTCGTCGCAGGCCAAAGCGGCTGAAATCTGCCTCCCATCGCAGCGGGTCTCGCGCTCAATCGGCCGAGGATCCCGATCTGGATGCCTCTACTAGTTTTAGCCAGCGCGAGTCATATATTGACGATGCCAGCCAACGTGCCTCGGTCATCAGTGACTTGGAGGACAACGTCACTGGTGAGGTTGTACGCGAGGTGGCGACAGAGGTGGCTGCAACGCTGACCTCTAAAACAGGGCCTGCCACTCCGGCTCACGCGCGGCGCGTGTTGAACACGGATCAAGCCAAGTCCACGCCGAGCTCTCCCTACGGCGATTCGACCAGTGTCTCAGTCGTTTAAAAGTCACTTGAGCAAATCTGGTGTTGCGTATGTGTACATTTGTTTTGCTTCTTTTTTTTATCTGAAAGACCGTTGTTGACTACGTCTGTTTGTGTACGAGCTATAATCGTGTATTTCCTGCTCTTTAGTTTTGGTCTGAACGGTCGATACCCGTTTTTCCCCGTGGGATGTGTGCGTTGTCAGCAGCGTCCATCTCTCGTATCGTGTGCTGCTTGTGCCCATGCATGGCCAATCCTTTTTGGTTTTTCACGGCTTTTCTGTTGGCCTAACCTTGCATTTGAGTGAATTTCGCAGTTTTTGACTTGTGTGTTTTGTCATTCGTTCTTTTTTACATGTTAGTAGCACTGTGCGCGATCACTCTTGGTTGAGGCTCAAGTTCAGATCCCATCACAATTCTTTCACGCCGCATGTGCTGGCGCAGAGATTGGGCGCGTTCCTAAATGGTTGAAGTGGCCATCCTTCACTCGTATTTTTGCACATTTAATTGGCCCGTCCAGCGGGTGCGGGGTTGTCCGACTTGCACTTTTCTACCCTTGTGTTTGCAAGATAGTTGAACCACTTTGCTTTTATTTCTCAAGCATCCACTGTCGAGTCTGGAGCAGTGTAAACCTGCTGCCCTGCCACCCATGTGGCCCGGACAGACAGGTCCTCTGGGTGAAGGAGCACCAGGTCAGCGTCATAGCCATACTTGAGATGGCCTTTATTTTGAGCAAGGCCGAGCATCTATGACACACATGCATGGCTTGATGAGCGCAAGCGCCAAATCCCGACGTGCGGCTCACAAAGAAGACAAACCTCGGCTGGGTGCGTGGAGGCAGCTCGGACGGCATGACCCAGACCGCCTGACGAGAGAGAAAAGGAAGGCGGGTGAGCATTGGGATGGGTGCAGTACAGTTCGATTTGTGGAACTGTGCTTACAATAGGTGGAGAAACGGCGAACGCAGGCATCCATGGTTGCAGCGCTATGACACGAAACGAGGGCCACGTGAACCGAGAGACGGTCATGACAAAGCCCGAGCGTGGGTGGGCGCGACAGGTCAACTGTGCCCGTTTTCAGATGCACGGTCAGATCATACCTGCCGGCAAGCGTGTCCGTGCCTTTGACAGTAAGACGTTGGTGTTCATCAAGGATGACAGTCATGTCTCCAAGGTGATGCTCACCAGGTGCCAAACCCATGGCTTCCGTGGCATCTGTGACAAGCACGCAGCCTAGACGATGGTCAGGCAAGGGCTGCAGTTAGTGGGGTTGAAGCATGCACGTGAGAGTGGGTTGCTTGCGTTGTCGGTACGATGTGGCTAACCGCGAGGGTGCATGGCATGGGCCAGGCGAATACTGGCATCGTGCGTGTGATAGCCATCGACAATGAGGCCATAATACATGGTGAAGCGATCTTCGGCAGCGTAAGGGAGCAGGCCGATGACTCCGGGGTTACTGCACAGACATTAACACCACCGAGGGTGGGGGTGACCAAGGCATGAATGAAAATGCGCCGGGTTCAGGCCTGGCTCACTGTAGGTGGTTTGGAGTTCAAGAGACACACACACACACACACACACACACACACACACACACACACACACACACACACACACACACACACACACACACACACACACACACACACACACACACACACACACACACACACACACACACACACACACACACTCATACACATACCGATGGTGAAAGCCGGTCATGGCATTGAAGAGATGTGTGAGACAGCTGGCGCCGGCGAGAATTGCAGTGTGTGCTTCTTCAAGATTGGAGTGAGTGTGACCCAGGCTGACGCGAACGCCTCGACGCACAAGCTCCCGGGTGACATCGACGGCGTTTTCAAGCTCAGGAGCCATGGTGACGTAGGCCACATTGTCCAAGGAGCCGTAAACGGCTTCGACGTCAGCGATGGAAAGGTTGGAGCTACGGATCCATTGTTCAGGGTGTGCACCCTTTTTTTCGGGATGGATAAAGGGGCCTTCAATGTGAACGCCCAATACAGCAGCGCCGTGGGCATCTCCTGCCTGTCGAGGGAGCTGTTTGAGGCGCAGTTATGTGTGAGATGCGGGTACAACAACCACGGGTAGGTCGGGCGGTGCTGACAGCTATGTAAGGCCATTCAAGGCCATTGCAGCAGCGTTGACTGACCAATGGGAGGCGCTCACGGTAGCTTTCAGGAGAGGCAGTGATCAAAGTTGGACAAAAGCCGGTAACTCCATGCCGAAGAAGTTTGTGTCTTACGGCTTGCAGACCATCAACCAGGGTCGCGGGGTCTGCTGAAGTAAAATCAACGCCGTATGCGCCATTGAGCTGGCTCGGCGGGAGGTGGCCAGGCGTGGCGGCACGTGGTGAGTTTTGGATGGGCAGCAAGAATGTTGGGTGATGATGCCACAAAGGATCAGGCTGCTCACGACACAAAAAGCACCTGGATGTCAATAAAGCCGGGCACGATGAAGCAGCCTTGGCAGTCAACGACACGGTCCGCCTAAGAATGGGCAATGTGGGCGAACAAGTCCAGGCGTGAGCTGGTTGGCCCACGGCGGAGCCCTCGCGACGAGGGCGACAGACCTGTCGCCGTTCGGCAAAGAAGAGCTCGGTTGGGTTGACGATGCGCCCATTCTCGATCCAAAGATCCTCACGAACAAATCCATCAGCCGTATACAACTGCCCGTTGGTCAAGCGCACAACCTGACCCGTCGCTCGGGGCGACTCGGTCGTCATGGCACGGGTGAGGCCTTGATTGTGAGCACGCGTGTGTCCTGTGTCGACACAAGCACTCTGCAAAGACCACCCGTGTGTGTATGTTCACGAGCTTTTCTCTTGATTGCCACGCGGGAATGCACCACAACCCATAAAGGCACCAATTCACACCACCCTGCGCTGCCGCTGCCGCTCCCGCGACCGATTTCGACGGGCACGCGTCTAGTGAGAGAGAGAAAAAATAAGAGAGAGAGAGAGAGATCGAGAGAGAGAAACCAGACGGAATTGCGACATCGACTTTAATGTCAGATGGGGTCAAAACATAGCCTTCAGTGAAAGACTGACCTCTGCTGTTCCAACTGGCTCTTAGAAAGACAAAAGACAAAAGAGAGAGAGAGGGAAAGAGAGAAGAGAGAGAGAGAGAGCAGTTTCATTGAACAAAACGTTCAAAAGCACACACACACATACACACACACACACTGGCTTGTGTGTGTGTTGGATGCTGGTACGTTTGGATCAAATGGCAGCGCCCGGTTCGTCTTGTTGGGTCAGGTGAATTGACAGGGGCATTGGATGGTTTGTGGTCAAGAGTGCGGTGGAAGACGGAAGGCGGGTCACTCGGCTGTATGCCTGAGGCTTGCAAACTTGCATTTGGCAAACGCACGATCATTGTGTCGTGTGTTTGTGTTCATCCTGCTGCTGGTGCTGGTGCTGGTGCTGGTCTCATTGCTGCGACTGCCGCTGTGGCTTCTGGTGCTGTTGGTGCCGCTGCCTTTTTTTGGATACCCCTGTCTCGGTGGTTTTGTAGATCTGCTGTGTGTGCACTGGGCGAGTGGGCCTGGCTGTCCCCCTCCTTGCTGTTTTGCTCCGTGCTATCGCGGTGGCACACGGCCACGTTTGACGGCCAGACCAAACGTGAGCGACCCCTGTCCTTGTTCGAGGTCGCTTGCCTGACCGTTGGATCCTAGACAAGAGTCCGCAGCACGCACCGCTTTTTAAGCTCAGTCTCTGTTGGCGCCGCCATTGTCCTCAGCTTAGGCAAGGATTTCTTCGCCATGGCTGCCACATCAAGCCCAGAGGATGCCGTGCGCTCCTGGTTGGCATCCCTCAATCTTGGCCAGTATGCCCAGCAGTTTATCGAGCTCGGGTAGGCGCCAGATATCCTCACGCACAGGGCAGAGCTGCTTTTTCATTGGCTCAGCCTCCTTAGCCTCATCTTTGTTTCATCCCCACCCCTGCTTGCTGCCCCCTACCCCCTATGCCCCATCAGCTACGATGATCCCAGCATGATCCACGCACTAGACAAATCGGACTTAGACGAAATGAACATTACCCTTCCTGGTCACCGCAAGCGCATCCTTCTCAATGGTCTGTCTCATCAATCGTCCCTGCAAGCCTGAGCGTCGTTACAATCCCCACCCTACACTGCCGGCCGCCTTCTGCACCTCGTGCTGCCTGCTCATTCACTCCACAAACCGCCACCTCATCGTCGTCTTGTTGATTGCCTAACAGCCCCCAACTACAACCCACAACAAGTGGCCCAAGCTTTGCTGGCCGCGCCGACGCCAGTTCCCAGCGCCGCAACAGCTCTGCCTCCTACGCCGGCGCCAACACCGGCCCCTACCTCAGTGTCTGCACCTGTCCCAGACGAGGCAGCGCCTCCTGCTGCTTCTCAGCCCGAATCGGAGCCCGAGGCAGAACCGCAGCCCAGCGCATCAACTGCATCGGAGGCGAACGGTGCTCCCGAATACGCCATAGCTACTCCAGAAACCATTCCAGGTGAAAATGAGGACGACCTCGAGGCGTCGGCATCTCAGTCCCCTGTCGCCTCCTCAGCGCCCGTTCCAGTGGAAGCCAAACGCCCCCCGCCCCCCGCTGGCCGCAAGCCCCCACCCCCCAAACCGGCCCCCCGTCCCAAACCTCGCATGTCCAGCGGCTCGGTGGCTCCTGCAGAGGATCCCCCGGCCCCTCCCACCACCAAAGCCGCACCCCCCGCTTCGCCCAAAGCCGCATCCACGGTGGGATCTCAGCCACAGGAAGCTCCTCCTGCCCTACCCAAGGCCAATAAACCCAGTTTGGTCCCAAGCGAGCCAGCACCAGAGCCCCCAGCTCCGGTCAACCCCATTCCCGCCGAGCCTGCACCGGCTCGCCCACCAGCACCACAGCCCACACCTCCCGCTGAGCCCATATCTCGCCGCCCACCTGCTGCCCTTCCCGATTCGCAGGCTGGCGAAACCATCCGAGAACGTGCGCCTCTGCCCGATCCTACACCGGCATCGGACTCCCTTGATGAAGTCGAAGAAGAGCGTGACGCCGTTCCCAGCCTCCCGTCGCGACCACCTGCGGCAGCCCCTCCTTCGCTGCCCAAGCGGCCTTCGAGCGAAATGATCACCCCTACCGTGCCCCCACAATTGCCGAGCCGTCCTCTGAGCACGGCTGTGGAAACCGCTCCGCCCAAGCTTCCGCAGCGGCCCATGAGCATGGCGCCCGCCGGTGCATCTGGGTCCGCTGGCGACGCCCCATCTCTGCCCCAGCGCAACGTCAGTCAGGCACAAGCCGTCCAGCCGCCTGCTGTGCCCACGACTCCACGCCCAAAGTCTATGATTCAGGTCGACCAGCCAGCCAGTGACGAGGAAACCATTTTCCTCCTGGGCGAGAGCAATGGCGTTTTTACCAAAAACGCTGTCAACATTTTCACGACAGCCGGTGAGCTTCTCCAAAACTACCTGTTGGAAACCAAATCGCCTAGTGATAGCACAACGCATGAGTGGCAACTCTGGGAGGTGCTCGAGTGCCCGCCCGTTGAGCGTCAGCTGGCAGCCCATGAACGTATTCTCGAGGTCAAATCTCGCTGGCCCAAGCATTTCGAAAGCAAGTTGATTGTGCGCTTCGTGGCCAATGAGCTAGTGGGCAGCCCCAGCCGTCAATTGCAGGGCCAGCTGTACAAGCGTGGAGGAACTCGCAAGACCTGGAAGTCACGCTTTTGCGTGTTGCAGGACACAGCCATCGCCTACTATCAAAAGCAGCCCAAAACCTTGGCTGAGATTGAGAAACCCCTCGGTAGGGCCGGCTGATCGACGGCCAACCGGCCCTGACTTTTGTTGTCTCTGTGTGTCTGACAGCTCGACCAATGCCTCATCTGGTGTGCCATGTCTGGCCTTTGTCTCCCCTTGGGTCTCAGGAACCTTTGTCTTTGTCAACGCCCTGGTGTACAACGTGCGCAACTATAAGCGTGCTCCCAAAAGCTCGCTGTGCTACTGCATTCGGCCCTTGGATGACGGCGTGTTCTGGCCGGGTGAAACGGAAAAGGAGGTGGTGGACTTTTGGGACAACCACTGCAAGTTTATGTGTGCCTACTCAGCCAAGGAGCGAGCCACCTGGGTCGCATCCATTATTCAGGCTCAACAGGATGTGCGTACTTGTTGCGGAGAATGCATGACGCTCAGCCGGGGCCTTGATGCGGCTGCACGTCTCACCTTCATGTTGTTGCCTTGCGTGGTTGCAGTTGATCGATAAGGGTGAAATTTACGGCTCGCTTGATGGTCCTCCAGTCCCTCAAAGGTCAGCTACCCATAAACTTATCCCTTGACACGGAGTTTCTTTTCCTTTTTTTTTTCTCTCTTCCCGGTCTCCAGGCATTTCAGGCACATTTTCCTCATCTGATTTGGATATCTGGTAGTATTGACAACGATGTCGAAGATGAGGAAGCACCCGCTCCTGAAGAGCCGGTTCCTGAAACTGTCGAGGACGCATCCGAAGCTGCTTCGTCACCGCCAGCCGTGGATGCGATGCCAACCTCAAGCGAACCTGGCGAGGTGCGCCCAGAAGACTTCAAGCCCATTCAAGCAAAGCGCGTCCAAGGCGTGGGCTTTGGCAACATTTTGGGCGATTTTAAAGCCCGTCGTCCGCAGTCAATGGCTCCAGAAGAGTAACGCCGCTTTAGACAGTCCACCTTCAAACCTTTTGTGTGCGTGTTTGAGCTCTACTCGCTTGCTCTTCTTTTGACTTGATTTTTCTTTTTAACCGAAGCCAGCATCCAGAGCAGGCTATGCCGTAACCAGCACGGGCTGTGTCATCATGGTCGTGACTCGCTTGTCTCAAAGGCGCATCGACCTCTCCCGAAGGTTCTTCGTTCTACCCGCTGTGGTCACCACCGCACTCGTGTAATTGACCCTCATTCGTATGAGTGGAAGAAGAAGAAGCAGAAGGAAAAGGATGTGATCATATTTGTCAGACAATTGGCTTTGTTAACACACAAAAACACACACACATTCACATTGATAGCACGACGCTGTGGCAGCCTGGTCGGGGCGTCAGTGGCAGGGCCAGGACGCTCAGTAGGGGGGGTGTGAAGGTACATCGGCGTGATGATTTTCTACCTCTACATTTTTGACCGAAAGGGCACTTGTTTGTTCTTCCGGGAGTGGCATCGACGCGACGAGCCGCCGCGTGCCGAGCCGCCCCTGGTACGTCCGTCGCTCTTCCTGCCTGCATTCATCGCGCTTGCCCGTGGCCATGGCCAGGAATGCGGCCTTGGTTCGAGCTTCTCATTGTTCAACGCTTCATCTAGTCGGAGCAGCACTTGATGTATGGTATGATCTTGTCCATCAAACAGTTTGTGAACAAAATTTCTCCTGTCACCGAGTACGTACTCGTGCATCTTGTTGCCCGCTGCGTGAGCTTGGCAGCACAGGTTCACCATGACACGCCTGATCCGTCTTGACTCGAAACCGATGACCATGTGCGACGGTGCAGAACGGGCATTGAGTTTGGCTCCTATGCCACGGAGACGTACCGCCTGCACTTTATGGAGACCGCCAGCAAGCTCAAGTTTGTCATTACCACCGACTTGCAGACACAGAACATGCGCGATATCCTTCGCTCCATCCACACCGAGGTTGGCCCTGCCCGTTCCCCTCTCTCAGCCCAAGTCCCCTTGGGTAGCGTCGGAGATGTTGGCCTCGATTCTATTTTCCAGCCTCTCTCTCCTCTCTCTCCTCTCTCTCTCTTTCTCTCTCTTTTTTTCTTTTTTTTTTCTTTTCTTTTTTTCGTTGTGGGTTGTCAACGATTTGACTTGTGAGATGATCACTCGGTGCTCATTTGGCCCGTGTTGCCACCCCGTCATCTGTGCAGCTTTTCGTGCCTTACATCGCCGGCACGCCTACTCTTGATGTGGGGCAACCAATCAAGAGCTCTGGCTTTGAGGCCAGTCTTGATGCCAAGATCAAGGGCTTGCCATTTTACTCCTCCTAAGATGCTGGGTGCTTGACCGCGCGCTTCTCGCCAGGGTGCTGGTCACCTTTCTGCCTGTATTGCTGTTGTTCTTTGCTCGCTCTTATCCCAAAGCCTGTACCCGACAAGGTCGGGGGCAGGAGGCTGTGAAGCTGTGGGCCAACTTGTGCCCTCTTCTCCTCTCCTTGCGATATTTGTGTTGCTGCCACTTTTTTTTTTTTATCTCTCTTTGACCACATTGATATGTCAATTTTCTATTCAATGACCCCGTGAGGTGTACCTTGCTGAGCACGACTCAGTGTTGGCCACCTGTTTTCCGGTGGGGCATGCTCCCGCTCACCGCCCCTGGCCTCGAACTTGCATCATGATCATGATGAAACTCAAGATTCGCAATGTGCATCTTCATGTGGATTCAGCGTCGGCTGCGCCGGTCTTTTTTCAATGCTTTGCGTTGCTTTCCTGCTGGTGGTGTCCCAGCCCGGGTTTGTTCACTCTGCCGAGGTGGGGAGCGAACGAGCTCACAGACTTCGTCATCAGGAACGATCACATTATATTCGTTCAATCGTCCTAGCGGCAGCTCGTAGGCCGCAGGCAGAGCGAGCAGCTCATCCTCGACTTCTGCCTCTGGTGTCGGCTCCGCTGCCGCTGCCGTTGCTGCTTGACGTTGACGGTGGCGCCGGTGCCATGCCCGAGGCCGGCGTCGATGCGCTGGGCGGCGTATGGCCAGCTGCAATGCCAATGGCGAAGGTGAAGCAGAAGCTGTGGGCTGGTCCTTGGGTGAGGGCGACCTTGCAGGGGGCTCAGTTGGCGGTGCAAGGCGCGGTACAGGCAGAGAGTTGGCATACAGCACGGGGCAATGCTTAGGCTGATCCCCTTCCGAAGTGCTGGTCTCAGCCGGCTTGTGCTTTCCGGTCAGGTCAGGTGTGCGGTTTCGGTGCAGCTGCTGAGTGAGGCGCGGCTGTGGTGCAGCGAGCTTGGGGCCGTTGTTGGTGGATGGGTGAGGTGTGGATACACTGTCTTCTGGTTTATCCTCAAACACCGGAATCCGATCGGAAAGCGAGCGTGGTGGACGTGCAAAGGGTCGCCTCGCTCTGGTCTGGGGCTGTTCTTCCTGGACGGCACCCCCTCTGCCTATATCTGCTGCGGTAGAGGTCCCAGTCACCAGCTTGCGCCACTGCCGTGGCCCGGTGCGGCGCGGGCTAATGAGGCGCACTTGGTTACGCTCCGCACTGAACTGGACACGCTTCCCGCTACTTGTGGTGGGCACATTGGGATCTTTCGCAACCAACCCGGAACGGTGCCGGTTGCTTCGATCCTCCAGTGCAACACGCCACCGAGATGGTGCCGAGGTCATGCTGAAGGTTGAAGGCAAGAGCCAAGTTTTCAAGCCTACACTTGCACGTTTCACAGACAACGTTTGACCAAACTGGGGTGAGCTGAAAGTGTCGTGCACAAGCATTCGAGAGGCTCGCCTCGACTCTGCTGTGTGATCTACCTCCCCCAACCTGCTGCACACACACACACACACACACACACACACACACACACACACACACACACACACACACACACACTCACACTCCCTGTCTCTCTTACCTCGACCCGCCGGCACAAATGTGTGTGTGTGTGTGTGTGTGTGTGTGTGTGTGTGTGAGAGAGAGAGAGAGAGAGAGAGAGACGCGACTGGCGATGAAAAGTTGTCGACAATTCGTCGATTGAAATTGGCGGGAAAACCATATCTGAAGTGTAACCAAAGTCACACATTCATTCCAATTCACTATTTTTGCTTGAAAGCAATCTGCCACTGGACAGCTGTTTTTTTTTTATTCTGTTTTTGCTTTTGTTGAAGAACTTTTTTTTTTTTCTTTTTTTTTTTTTCGCAACGGCAGCGCCGGTGCCAGTGGCAGTGCCTGGGGCGTCGGGGGCTTGGGGCAAATGTGACAGACGACCAGGCGATTGAAAGTGATTTGGGTATGTGGGCTGTGCCAGGTGTTGCTCAAACTTTATTTGCACCTTCTTTTCTCTTTTTGTATCTCATCCGTTGCGTTGGCACCCGCGGTTGGCGGTTGCGGTTGCTGCATCTATTTTGGTAGTCAACGATACAATTGAAAAGCACACGTGTTGACGCGTGTGCTGTGTACGCTGTTGGGTTGGGCATTGCTCGCCCTTGTTCAACCAGGTTCTCCGTCGGCCCATGCCCGACGACATGAGTTTTCGGAGTCGCAGCTCTTCAATCAACGGTAGTCGGCGGGCCTCGCTCTTGGCTCGCAAGGAACCCGACGTGCGCGTTGGCGATCGCGTCACTTCTCTGGACGGGACCCGCGTGGGCACGGCGCGCTACGTTGGAAACGTTGGCTTCAAAGTTGGACGCTGGGTTGGCATTGAGCTGGACGAGGGTCTCGAGGGCAAAAACAACGGCACCGTTCAGGACAAGACGTACTTTGTGTGCGACGAAAATCGCGGCGTCTTTTTGCCGCTAGCCAACGTTGAACTGGTCGACGGCCCCCGTGCCCACTCTGGAGCTTCATCCTCCAGCCGGCCGAGTCACTCGCACCTCAGCTCGCCACCCCGCTCCCAGCTCAACCACAGCATGGTCGCCTCCACCCCCACCACCCCCAAAGGGAGCTCAACGCCAGCCACATCAGGCCGCCTCCACTCCCGTGCAACGGTCACACACCTTTCCGAGGCAGCCGTCGGAGACATTGTGAGCGCTCTGCGTAATGACCTGGACCATCTCCGCCAAGCCATTGCTGAAGTCCAAACAAGTAGCTCTGCTGCTGCGACCAGTGCCGCCGCGGCCGCTGCTGGCGTGGTGGCCCGTCCCGCCCCTGCCTCTGGTGCCGAAGCCGATGGCGATGACGGTGCAGATGCTCAAGCGCCAACTGCTAGCCAGTCAGGCCTGAGCGCCGAGGCTGAAGCTGGCGTACAACGCGTGGCCGAAGCCCTTGTCGAGTTGCAACAGCGGCTGGCCGAGAAGGACGCCATCATTGCGGAACGTGACGCCACCATCACCGAACTGCAGCGCGAGGCCGCGGAAGCTCGTGCCAAGCAGCAGTCGCATGCCGAGGCCAAGGCGCAAGCCGAACAGCGTGCTGATCTGGCCCGTGAAAAGAACCAAATCGAGCTCGATCGCTTGCACGGCGAGCAAGGTGTCCTCAACTCCAAGGTCGAAACCCTGGAACTGCAGTTAGCAGAGGCCCAGCAGGAAACGCAGGAACTGCGCGATCAACTGTCAGCCGCGCGCGAACAGCAGGCCACCGCCACAGCGGCGCCCGCTGCCGTTGTACCACCAGAGGTTGGCGCCTGGGAGAATGAAAAAGAAGCCATGCTGATGCAAAAGGAGCTTTTGGAAGAGCGAATTCAGGAACTAGAGAAGGAAGCAGATGGTCTGCGCGGCCAAGTCAAAAGCCTTGAACAGGATGCTGAGGTCCAACGCGATGCCGCGCCCCGCAGGCCCTCCAGCCTCTTGGCGCAGGACCGTGAGGATTTGCAAAATCTTTTGACTGCTCATTTCGAGCAGATCCAAGCACTGAAAAATTTGCAGCACGGTACGGGGCCGGGCACAGACGTCCAGGCTGCGCTGTGCAGCCAGCTTGACACGGTTCTAGCCTCACAGCTACAGCACTTGACCAAGCGCTTGACGCAGTGCGAGGATGCCGTGGATGTCTTCCTGAGCCAAACCTCGCCCCTGGCTTCTGCGGCTGTTTCCAACGGTGTCCTGATAAACGGCGCAGAAGATACGACACCCCCTACTGATTTGGATGGGGACGAGTTTTTTTGAGGCGCTTTCTCTAGCTTCGAGTCTTGCGGCCCACCAACTCTTTTTTTTTTTTTTTTTGTCTCGTTGCTGGTCTCCTTTACCCTGTTGGTCGTGTGTTGTGTTCAGATGAATCGAGCTTTATTGCTTCGAGCCTGACTTTGGCGTATGCCACGTGAATTCGCATCGAATTAAGGTTTGCTGGAACTACACAAAAGAATTTTCTCAAACACACAACAACAATGTAACGTAGATGACATTGGATATGACGCCTTGTTTCAAGCGTTGTTAATCACGCCGAGGGGAGCACGGGCTCGCTGCTGGGCAGGTTGCTGCTCGATCTTCTTGGCCTTGACCTTGGCACGTCGGCGACGATTCTAGGAATTTTGAGGAACAAAGAAAGGAAAAAAAAAAAAAACACATTGTCGTCAATCAAGGGAACCCAAGCATCTTGTCGAGAAGAAACGGGTTGGACAGACCTTCTTTTGTGACTTGGTCAATTTAATGTCCTCCTCTCCGTCAACGTTCTCCTCCTCGAAATGATCGGCCGGCAGGTTTTCGTTCATTACGAGCTCTGCGTTGCCAGTGCTTGAAGGAAGAGGTTCGGCGGTGTTGGAGTTTGGCTCGAGGTGTGCCTCCTCAACGAGGTTGTCCTCCTCTTGAGGTGCAGTCTTCAGCACAGCATCTGATGACATCTGAGGCTCGATGGCCATGGTAGGCGCGTGGTCTTCAACATTGGGACGCGGGGAAGTGGGTTGTGACAAAGTCTTCTTGACATCAACAACCTGAAAGTTAAAGTTGATGCTGTGACGAGAGGGGCTTGGGTCGTTAGATGTCTCCGCAGCAGGTGCGCTGCTTTCAGCGTCTTCGTACTTCAGTTGCTGTGCCTAGAAAGACGAGATACCACAATGACAGTGGCGTTGAAACGTGCACGAGCCCAACGAGGAATACTTCAAAAAGGCAAAACTTACCAACTTGTTGGCACGGCGCGCCAATTTGCCCTCGATCCGGGCCACCGAAGGCAAGCGCGAGCGCACAGGCGAGAGTGCCGAGACAGCGTTGCCACTGGCCAAGTAAGTGGTGAGCCAACTTTGATGGTCGTAAGCATGTGTACCGCCAACAGACACGGGAAGCGCGGTACGAGGTACGACCGCTTCAAGAGCATCGAGGCTTTTGTAGGTGCGCAGCTTGGAGCTGAGCTTGTTCTTCATGAAGGGGCGCAAAACGCGAAGCATGGCTTTGGTGGTCCAATTGGGGGACACCACGGCCACGCTGCGCACGCGGGCCGGATAATTGTTCTGGAGCGTCTTGAGCAGTAGCTTGTGGGTATTGTTGTCAAGCTTGGACCAAGGCAGACGATGCAAGAAACTCACGATGGTGATGCCATTTCGCATAGCTCGCTCGTCCTGCAGCGCGATATCCACAAGGTACAAGATGGCGCGAAGGGTCTGCTGGCCATCAAAGCCCTGATCGCGGTGCATTGCTGCATCATAGACCACAATAGCTGCACCCTCGACGTCGTGTGTGCCGGGCAACAGCAGTTCACCAGCTTCCAAGGGTGCACGGGCCTCGCCGGCATCAATCGTGTCAGTGCCCAACAAGGGCACTAGCTCCGACTTGTAGGCTTGCAGAAGATTGAAAGCCCGATCAACATCAAACTTGCGGGCCATCAAACAACTGTGAACCAAAAAAGGGTATGGGGTGTCAAGAACTGGCTGCCATTCAATCTTTTCCAAGCCAAGTCAAGGACATAATGCAAAGGTGCCATAGAGTGCGAGTTGAGGCGTACCGCAAGAGGAGATCGTCCCCATCGCTTGCATCGACCCGTGCGCGCAGAGCATTGAGTGCCTGTAGCGCGACAGGCGTTGAGAAAGACATTTACCCCTTTGGATGGGGCGGGCATGGAGCGGAGGGCAGGGGCAGGGGGGTTGGGGGGGATGGCGATTCACACCTCAACTTCAGTGTCGGCAAGGTTGATATCCGTGTTGACGGCCATGGTGTCAAGGTCGAGCGATGGGAGACCAAAAAAAAACTGCGCTCCTTGTCAGTGTACTGTTTGCTCGAAGAGATTACGCTCTTTTCAAATTTTCCCGCCAATTCAATCGGCAGGTCATGTGCCAGTGTGCGCACCACACAGTGTACAGTCAAGCAGAACAGACACATCCCTGCCCGCCCTTCCCACAGCAGCAAGTTGACGCCGCCCTACGGGCGGACAGCCACCCCAAACAAAGACTGACCAAGTCAAGACCAAAGAAGATGATGCAATAATTGCGTCATCATTTGTTTTTAAAGGCTTAACGTTCAAATCATGCAGAACGTGTTTGTGTGGTACTGAGGGTGGAACGATGAATGGGCAAGAGTTGAGTATCGGTTCGTTCGTTTGCGGCTTTTGGATTGAGATGATACGGCGGCGCAAGAGGCGCAGAGGCACAGAGGACGACAAAGGACAAGAAGAAACAACACGAAAGAGATCACAGGCAAGGACGCAATTTACAGCTCCTCAGCCTCGTGATGAGCAAAAACACGGTCCACTTGATGATCGATGAAAACCTGGGAGTTGCTCTGCATGGTCTTGGCAAAGAGGCGAATTCGATCGGGCTGGATAAAGACACCCGTGTCCTCATAGGTCTTGCGCGTCTCAGGATCGAGACGATCAACCTCCTCATCTGTAAGCGTCATTTGATCCAGCAGAACAATGTCCGATCGACTCACGTCCCAATCGTCGGCAAAGAGACTGGCACAAAGCTCGGCTGTACTGGGATCCTCCGGGTCGAAAGAGGGACATTCGGATAAGGAGGTCAAGCCCAGGGTGAAAACGCCTCCAAATGACTCGTAGATGGCTTTCATGGTGCGCAGGTATGCCTTCTCTTCAGGCCCAACAGCGCCAGAGTGATAGCCCATCAAGAAAATCATAGCAGTCGGTCGATCACGGTGCCAAAGTTCAGGAGGGTTATAGGTATTGCTGTTGACATTGCATGGGGGCAACTGGCGGTCCGAGTTTGGCGGCGAGCTAGGATCCCAACCAGTGACTTTGATCTGCTCCAACGAGGGCGTTGGGCTGTTTTCGTCAATGGCCTTCAGGATTTTGGACGCCGACGGCAGCTTGTCGAAGCCAGGAATTTCCATTTTGGACGGAAACTGCATCCCGCAGTTTCGGCGGATGGCACCAAGGAACATGGCCATCAGGGTATAAAGGCTAGATCGAGTAAAGTCTTTGACGCCTTTGGTGTCCATGATCTCAACGCGTGGGGCGAAGCCTTGCGAGCGAGTATGGTTGTCCATGGACATGGCAGTTACACCAGGCGTATGAGAGCCACCCGAGGAGCCCTGTTTGACACTGAATGCCCTTGCCTTTTCAAGCTTGACCCCGGCATAGTAGGCCAGCCAGCGGGCCAAGCTCGACTTGCCCACACCATGAAGGCCAACAATAAGCCATCGGTACGTAGGAAAGGCGGCGTTGATCCAGTTCTTGCGAGCCAAGCAATCAGGAGTGTCAGCTGAGCAGCCGAGGGCGTCGACGGGGCGTGAACTAGTGTATGACATGACTTCCGGATCTCCGTTGAAGCGATGGGCCTGCGCAGGTGGCGCTGACAGAGCCTCTGTTTGCTTGGTGGCCACGGCCGCGAGGTGGTTCACGTCCACCTTTTCTACGTCAGCCAAGTCATGTGCCGTTGTGCTGGCCATAGGGAAGCCACCATCCTGCAAGAGCTTCTTGGCATACTCCTCGAAAACTTGTGTGCGGTTGTGATCACAATCTTGCAACGAGAGCCGTGAACGCGCCTTTGCGAGCGTCGCAATCATGCTGGGGCAGGTGCAGCCAAGAAGCAAGACGTCGACTGGGAAGTGCGCGTCACGCCCGCGAAGCAAACGGTTCACGTCTTCGTAAAGAGGCTCGTCGATAAATGGGTTGCGCTTGCCCCCGCATTTCTCAACCATGACAATCGAGTCTGCGCCTTTTTCTTTCAGCATCGCAAGGAGCAAGTTGCCTTGAGTGGTGACGCCATTGGCCTCGCCGTGAACCTTGACTGTGTACGGATCGCCGTTGTCCGGATGCTGGACTTCGATGATGTGAGGTTGGCACAGTGTTGGGCGCGTGATCTTGAGCCACTCCATCTTCTTCAAATACGGGGTAGCTTCACAGGATGGCAGCCACGGGTAATCAAGACTGGTCAAGCTTGGGTTCTTGACCACCAGTCCGACACCGCGCGGCTTGGCTACTGGAATCCACCAGACCGCAAAGAAGGCCACGACAAATGCCCAAACATACATCATGCGCCGAGTGGGACGAGAAGGGACAGGGGGCACCGGGCGACGAGGAAAAGCAAGATCGCGATCGGGAGGGGGCTGGTGCTCTTCGACAGGAGGATCAAGATCGCGATCAGGAGGGGGATTGTGCTCTTCAGCATCATCCTCAGAGTCCGACTCGATAGCCTCATACTCCCACTGTTCTTCCACGTCATTGCCAGCCGCAGCGAGCGGCTCGGCTGCCAACTCAGCTGGTTGCATTTCTGCTGCCATCATGGGTTGCGCCGGCCAGTCGAAAAGCCAGTGAATGAGCGATAGAAAAATGCCACTGCCCAGCCTCACGAGAGAACATTACTCTGCTAGCAATCTCGATCGCTCGCACTGTGACGTGTCAGGCTTGATCCGCTACCTCAGAGTCTACCTTCACCGTTCGTTTGTCTTGTTAGTTGATGATAACAATAATATCATGGATTGCTCGCTCACTCCTTCATAAGTGCACTGATCCCACTCAAGTGTGTGTGTGTGTGTGTGTGTGTGTGTGTGTGTGTGTGTGTGTGAGTTCGTGTGTGAGTTCGCGTTGTGTCAGTGACGTGGTGTCAACGGCGCTCGTGACGTGGCAACACCCACCTTTACTTGATCCCGCGCTGCTTGTGAGCAGGATGAGGTTTTCGGAGTCGTTTTTTTGTGTACGGGTTCTTTTTGATACTCTGTCTTGATTTTGGTTTTCCCTGAACGAACAAGCGCAGAAACGAGAAACCAGACGGTCTAACGACCGTCAGTCACCCCGGTGGATGGCTGTTGAGGTCGTGGCCCTACCAACCACCTGTCAAATGGATCGTAATTTGCAGTCAGTGCCACAAATTGTGACTCGGACAGCGATCGGGCGTGAACTGTATTTGCTTGCATCATCCTTTCAACTTGCGTGCATGCAACTCGAAACTGTTTCAGGAAAATGAATGTTTGTGTGCCATCGTATGAACCCCTCCACCCCTTCCCGTTGTCAGTGAGCGTCGTGCGGTGTGTAGCAAAAGTGGTGTGCGATTGGCTGACGCCCCCAGCTTCGGTCTAGGGATTCGTACACGGTTGTGCTGCGCTGGGGGCCCTGAGATCGGAAGGAAAAAAAAGCGCGAGAGAACTCAAGCTCAGCAGCAGAAGATCTCCAAGCATGACAGCTCAGCTGGCAAGCCGACATGCGCAGTGTAGCAACTCGCCGTGTCCCTCGCGTTGTTTCCTTTTAAAAAAACACCATGCATACCTTTTGACAATCAGCGCAGCATGAACGGATGATGTCCAAAGTTTAATTTTCGCGGCCATTGATAAACAGACACAAGAACAAACTTGCTCGCAGCACTCCATAGACCGCAATGCTGTGGTTCTGCCTTTTTTGGGTTGGAAGGGGCCTCCGGCACAACAGCAGCGCGGGTCTTGTTAATGTCGAACTCAACAAAAATGTTGAAAGCGCTCGCAGCGTCTGACCCTCCAAGTCAATGGGTGCGTCCTGGTCAACCGGCCAGGCTCAAATGAAAACAACGCCCCGCTTTCTAGCGCGCCAGCTTGGTGCCACATCACCAGCAAATGACGGCTAACAACGAACGTGATCGCTGCGCTCGCAGACATTGGCCCCTTGTGAGATCGCAGCCATCTCGAGCCACGCCAGGCAAAGTTATCACTACCCTGATTACCCCTTCTCGCTTGCACTGATGTGAAGAAAATGACTGCAGAGTCAGCTTGAGAGTTGAAGTAAATTAAAAAGGTTGGCTGATATGGGGTGGCGACACGAACGCGCGCACGCTTGAAGCCAAAATCAAATGGCCGGGTGTTTGCGCGCTGGTGCCACGGCCTAGAAGTGCCGGATAACCGCGACAAAGAGCGCGAGAAGGAAGCTGGTGGCCCAATGACTGAGCGGGCTAGCAGTGCCGCTCGTGCAAGTGATGGAAATGTAGTTGTTCACGTCACGACGCTCGTGAGTCATGGGAAGAAGACCTGCGCGCTCGAGTGGAGGCACGGGAGCAAGGGATCGCCGCCGGGCCTTGGTAGCATCATCGTCCACCACGTAATCGCCATCCCAGTCATCTTGATCGTTGGACCTGTGTTAGTCGCGTGGCAGTCAAGGCAGTGAGTTTGATCTCCATGAGGTGCGTCAGGTGAGTTTGCCAAGCTAAACACGCTGCGTGCACGCACCATGCATCGGTTTCAAAGTCGAAGATGTCATCGTTGTTGGGGTCGACGTCAGCCACACATTCGTTAGTGGTGAGACTGTGAGTCTCCACGTCGGTGGCTTCACGAGGATCACACGAGTCGGTGTTGCTAAAGACAGTGATGGCCATGATAGGGTCTTGGCAGACGACGCTTCCTGATGATTTATCGTTTCCGCGCGTGCACAGGCTGCTCATTACATCGACGTAAAAGGGTTCATCGCTGCAGTCGCTCGAAGTGTGGTAGTTAACCCGGGCCACGCCCTTGGGCAGCTGATCAACACAATACATCATGCGTGGGCCCAAGCAGACGTTGGTCTTGTAGCTCCAAGCCGTGGTTGGCGCCTACACCGGGTCACATGCGTTGTGAAAGATGGCATGGTTCGACACAAACGTGATCAATAATCGTGATCTTGATCAAGCTGGACTGGCCAAGGGGTTGGACCTACACCACTGCAATCGCTCTTGCCCAACCAGCGACGCAGCTTGGCCTAAACGACAGTCATGAAGCAGAGCGTACGTGTAAGCCATCGTCTGTGATAAGCGAAAACAGAGTCGAGTCGAAATTGCTCGGGGTGGCTCTGGCGTTCAAGAGATTCATAAAAGCTTACGCGTCCGTTCTCGCAGAAGTACATATCTGAATGACCCGTGTGGTAGTTTAAGCAGGCGTGGGTCTTGTAGGACCAATGCGTTGAGACGGTCGACGACTTGGCATCATTGCAATCAGACATGACCAGATATTCTCCGCTCGCCAAGGCCACAACTACCGGCATTCAATCCTGTGAGTGTCACTGCCAGCCAAGTTCACAGGTTTTTCTTCTGAACGTCCCGCCTCGGACCGAGGTGCCTTGGCATCTCTTAGAACGACAGACACCTACCAATGGCTGCCAGGCAGAAAGCCTGCAGGATCCCGAACCGCGCCATTCCGCTCGCCGTCCTCGCCGTGTCTATCTAGATGATCTGACCGAGGAGCACGTCCACCACAGAGAGAGAGAGGGAGAGAGAGGGAGAGAGAGCAAACGGCGCGGGGACGTGAGGAAGCGCTCGCGCGCAACTGCCAAGAAAATGATACAATAGTCATTAGTCCTTTACTGGTTGAGATGCTCTGGACTGTACCTTAGCCTGATACCTTTCTCTTTTAAGCCTTTGATTTTAGCTTACGTGTAGGAGACGTGTTGTTCGTGTCTCTAATTCTTGTTTATCTGTGCACCTCTTCTCTGATCATTTGTGATCACATGTGCTCTCTCTCTCTCTAAACAATTGACCTGGTCGTTACAATGGCAAATTGCGGCTCGAGTAGTGCAGCCCTAATTCATTGGGTTGTGTCTATCTATCCATCTATCATGGGCAGGGCACACTCTCTAGCCTATTCATGCATGCCCACTCAGCTGACCGCTGCCCTTCGCTCGCCCCCGCTGCCCTTTTAGCATGTGCCTGTGGGGTGTGTGTGTGTGTGTGTGTGTGTGTGTGTGTGTGTGTGTGTGTGTGAAAAACTTTAGCAAACTGTGAAATAAGAGGGGAGTTGTTGATTTTACATGTTTTCTACAGCTGAAGAAATCAGTGATGGTATTCGAATTTGTCGCCAAAAAACCTCCGTTTTCTCTCTCTCTCTCTCTCTCTCTCTCTCTCTCTCTCTCTCTCTCTCTCTCTCTCTCTCTCTCTCTCTCTCTCTCTCTCTCTCTCTCTCTCTCTGCTGTTCTGGGGGCGCCGGCGCCTTGTCTGCCTGTTCTGGCGCGCCGATTTCTCCGTCTAGAGGGGTTTGACGTGGTGAGCAGGGAATCGTCAACCGTTGATCCATCTCGGCGGGTTGTTCTTCTCGCCTGGAACGCTGGCATTCGGCAATGGCCGCTGGCCTGGGGTTGATGGGAAAGCGTCCTCCAGACCAAGCGGCGACGAACCGCGTCGCGCTGGCTAGCGGCAAGCTTTGCCGCTGTGCAAGTGCCCGTGGCCTTTGAATAGCCACTGTTATCGACAGGATGGATCTGATGCACGAAGTGCAGCTTGCGCTGCGGCCGTTCATGGGGCGCAGCGTTACGGAATCGGACTTGCAACTCCTCGGCGCTCTGCTTGCGCTCGTCGTGGCGCTCGCCACTCAGTACGTCTTTCATGGTGGTGGTGCTTGGCACGACTTGCCCCGATCTCATTTGACTCCAACCTCGCCCTTGGCCTGCACTCATGTGGGCTATGCTTGCCTTATCGTAGAATGCAAGTTGTGGTTGTGCTTGTCCTCGGCCTCCTCTTGGGCACTGGACTGGCTTTGCTCCTGCAGAAACGCCTGACACGCCTCGCATCTCTTTTGCCCACCCTTCCTGCCCGAGACCCCGAGATCTGGCCGCCCCGCGTGGCTGCATCGTATGTTCCACGTGCGGTTGCGCAGGCAGACGATGTGCATGCGCCCAGCACCGAGGTCCACGCCTGCCGCGACTGTGGCCAACCCAGCTGTACGCGCGCCCGCACCAGGCCCCAGCGCTCCCAGACGCATCCATGGGAGGGCTTGGAAATTGCAGAGGGCCTTGATCAAACGCTCCACGAGTTTCTCGATGAAGTTGTTCGCTCCTTCATCTACTCTTGGTTTGAGTTCCTCACCGACAACACCGATTTTGTTGACGAGGTCAAGATTGAGCTTCGATTCCTTCTCGCCACCATTGTCCAACGCGCGCTGCACGTAGACCTGGACGGCCTCATCCAGCGCACCGTGGCACCGCACCTATGTGCGCACATCAAGACCTGCTTGGACGCCGCTGCAGTCATTCGTGAAGCGGAGCCAGAGCTGCGCGCCGTCAGCATTGTTGACAACGAGCGCCTTGCCGGCCTCGTGGAGGCGGCCCTCCTCGAAGACCCCGCCACCGCCCATCCCGGTCTGGGTTATGCTGACCCGGCCGAGTACAACCAGTACATGCGCCGCATGGTCGAGGCGCTGCTACCGCGCCTTCTCCGGCCCAACATTCATGGAAGCACCCTCATGCGCCTCCTCTTCCGCGAGCTCCTTGTCACCTACGTTTTCAAACCCACCGTCGATGCTCTGACTTACCCCGACCTCTACAACTCCATCTTTGACCTTCAGCTCCACCAGCCTGCCCCGGCATACGCTTACCCCACCAGCAGCGGCACCGTTGAGTTTCTTCGCCGCTTTGTCGAGCAGGATACGGCCGGCGATAAAACGCACACGCACAATCCCGATTCTGGGCTACGCATGCGCCTCCCCGAAATCATGCTCGCCCCCGAGCTGCATTCCCTTTTCATCCGCTACTGTAGCGCTCTGGGCGTCGAACACCTCCTCACATTTGTTTCCGCAGCGGAAACCTTCACCACTCAGGCCAATGAGCGACGCGACGATGCCGACTACCGGCCCCTGGCTTGGTCCAACGCCGCCACCACCTTTGAGGCGTATGAAATGGCTGCAGCTGGAGAGCCTGACCTGCGCTTGGAAGCGTCTCGCGAGGCGGCTGTTCGAGCCCAAGTCAAGGCACAGAGCGGCGAGCCCCCCGAGCAGCTATTTCTCCAGCTTTACAGCATCGCCTATCGTCTCCTCGAGAAGCGGTACCTGCCTGGCTTTCTTCAGAGCAAACTCTTTCTGACCCATCGCCTGGGGCCAAAGACCTCGCACGCTGCTCCACGCCGCGAAAAGCAAAAGCCTGAAACGCACATTGCCGGACTGCAGTTACCCCCAACGCCATCCGAGATGGAAGATCCCCACTTTGATGTACTGGCCGGCCCCACCAAGGCAGACAAGAAAAAAAGAGGCAAACGCGCAAAGTCGATGCTTATACTCTCAGACAAAGCCACGCCGACCACCACCACAGCCGCAGCCTCCAGTACCGCTTTGCCTCATGAGCCCTCATCGCGCCACGCTGCCTCCTTGAGTGAAAGTATCAAGAGAGCGCGGCCGCCCGTGGATGGCGCTCGTGCCCGCGCCATGACTCTTGATAGCAATGCTCGGCTCGACATGCTCGGCGTTGATACGGTGCGTGATGATTGCTAACTTGCTTTTCCTTGGCAGTTGTTCCGCAACTTGTACTTTGGCTCCATTTTGCTTACGTGTCGCACCTTCTTGGCAGGGTCCCAATTCCCCGGATGAGCCATCGCCATCTGCGATTTCGCGCTCCTCCGTGTTTGAGGTGGAAAGTGCACCCATGCGCGAGCGGAGCGCAACACTCCAGCCAGTCTCCACCACTGCAGCTTCAACACCGCGTCAAGGCTCGACTGGCTCAGTGGGTTTGGAGGATTTCACACCTCCCTCGAGTGCTGCTTCCGCTCCCGAAGAAAATGCAACGATTGCTGCTGAGGGCTTGGATGAATCAGATCAAACACCCGAGGATGAACGGCAGCTGCGCGCTCTCAAGGTTTGCCGTTTTTTTTTTTTTTTTTTTTTTTTTTTTTTTTTTTTTTTTTTGCCGTGCACTGTCACCTGTATCAGTGTCGTCCACGTGTGTCTGACCCCCGTTCCCACGTTCTGTGGCTTTAGCACATGGTTGTCAAGATCAAGAATCCGCGCGTGGTAGGCACGGGCAGCAAACAACATGTGGTGTACCCCATCCTCGTCGTGATGAAAGGCGCAGATGGCCATGGTATGCGATCCGTCTCCCGTATCACCTGGGGGCTGCTTTTGTGGTGCTCGCATTCCTTCAAGCCCCTGACTCACTCTCTGCCCCTGACTCACCCTCTGCCCCTGACTCACGCCCTACCTACTTTAGACGCCACCTTGTTCAAACAGGGTGAAGCCAACAATTGGACGGTGGAGCACAGGTACTCTGACTTTTTCACGCTGGATCGAGTGGTCAAGGTTCGCCCTCGTCTTGATCAAAGCCTTTCTACCAAGCCCTTGACCGTCGCTTACTGGATGGAGCTTGTCCTGACTTGTCCGCCTTTATAGAAATTCTATCCCGACGATGACCTGAAGCTTCCCGCTAAAAAGAACTTTAACCGCCTTGACGAAAGGCACATTGAGGCGCGCCGGGAACAGCTGCACGTGTACTTGCAATACCTTTTGCAGCACAAGCTAATTCATCAACATGTGGACTGCCGCCGAGCAATCTATGCCTTTTTAAGGCCCGACGTGGACAATTTCAAGGTAAGCGTGTAGGCCGTGCTGTTCTTGTCGCGGCGTGCAGGAATTGTCCATAGCTTACGCCTGGGCAATGATTGAATTTGGTCAGTCGGTCAGCAACATCATTCTCACACGCCGGGAGCACAAGGGCCACATGTTCTACAAGGCCAAGAAGGAGGCCAAATCAAAAATTGCCAAGCTGCTGCAGCTTTTCGAAGTCTCGCGACGGGCCTTTGATGAAGATCGCGAAGAAATGTGTGTTCTGAATTCCTCGCTGCGCGTTGCGTGGAGCCCTTGGTGATCTTTGATCAAGTCCTCACGGGTGGGGTGCGGCGCAGGTTGCGGGAGCAACAACAACGGCTCGAAGGAGACACATTACAAGCATCCATGCCCGATCCAGCCCTGCTCCGGCGACCCATTCGCCGCGAGAATGGGCCAAGTCTGACGCCTGCGATGCATGAACGTCTGGCGGGCGTTCGTGCCTCGTATCAGCAGCTCATGCTCGGTATGTCGAACCAACCCTTACTGCCGCTCCTCTGCTCACTGCCCAAAGATGGTGTGCCTCACTATGATTGCATCAACGCTTTTGCGCTGCATCGACAGACAAAGACCCCTTGCCAGTGGGACGGCGGGTGACACAGTTGCTGGAAACAGTGTTGGAAAACGGTCTACCTGAGTGGGCCAGTCCGCTGGTGTTGTTGGGTTTACGTCGTCCGTTGGCCGCAACCGTGGACGACTTTATTGACCGCTTTCTCGCGTTTCAGGTCGGTCTCATGTATCCCTTTGCCCCTTTTCTGACCGCCAGCCCGCGGCTGCCCCTCTTGCCACTGCACCTTCTCAATTTGGTACTCGTCTTGCACGTCGTGGTGACGTGTGTCTGCCTTCTTCCTTGGCTTGATACACAGTTGGATTGTAACTTGTCAGAAGCCACGCTTCAGGACGATATTCGCCTCTTGATGCAGTCGGTGTTTCATCCAGAAGAGGTCGTCCGCTCACCCGAAGCGCAAGCTGCTTCGCGAACTGCTGTGCGCGATACCTTGGAGCAAATGCTGCAGCCTCTCGTCAAGGCACATGTGATCAAGCCCCAGCTGGTTCTTCGTGTCTTGGACATTTATGGATTGTTCCAATCGGAAGCGTTGAATCGACAGGTCCGGTCATCTTGCTTTGGTCTGACGGCAGCTCGTTTCTCTGCCCGCCTTACTCTCTTGTTGGGGTTGGGTGTTTTTTTTTAGCTTCTTCTGGTCATCTTTGATGAGCTGATTCTTCAGCTATTTCCCGAGGTAGCCCATGATTTGTCTGTCCAGCAGACGCCTGCTGCACCCTCAAAAGCGTAAGGGATGGGTGAGACCCCAGTGGTCATTTGAAAAGGAACTTAAGGAACCGGAGATGTGTTTGGAAGCACGCGTCGCTTCTCGGGAAAACAAAAAAATTCAATTATCAGCCACGTTTACTTTTGAAGAGCACAGACAAGCATCACTCAGACGCTGTCGACTGACACCCGATGGCGGCGAGCCTCCTCATCCGCCAGTGTAAGCATTGTCTCCGTGAACACGGGCGCGTTGTCCCACATCAGGTGGTGGCCGGCGCGTGGCACGAATTTGACCTGATTGAAATGGGAGATGGAAGACGCATGAGAAAGTTGGGCACAGGAAGGCCAACAAGAAAAGAAGTTATCATCAGAGAGCTGGTTGCTGTGGGTAACATACAGTAGAATTGGGGCGAGTGGCTGAGAAGGCGACGGCAGGCTCCGGACTGATCCAAGATTGCTCGCCAAACATGAAGTTGATTGGGATTCTACATGGCCCAGACGCGGTGCAGTGAGGTGTAGATTGGCGGTAGAGAAGCCAGCGTGGTCGGTGCAGGAAAAGTTACAGCAAAAGAGTACAAGGGGTGGCAATGTGTCGTACCGCTCGTCAATGAGGGGAAGGCGGGGCGCAAGCGGGTTTTTGGCCCAGCCAATGGGAATGGACATGTGATGAAAAGCCAGTTCCCCACTTGGGCTTTGGGCATTGCAGTGGTAAATATCTAAAAATGAACCCGTTGTGACGGTAAGCGAATCCCAAGTGAGGTAAGTGTTGCGCCGAAAACTCAACACGAGCAGACGACGAGAGGCCCTTGTAGACGTGAGGAGAGACCAACATCCATAAAAGTCGCGATCATTGCCGAGATATTCCCTGAAGCGCAAGCCCAAATCTTTGCGCAGGCCCATCAAGGATTCGCCCCAGGGGCCTGCAGCTCTAGGGCACACGAAAACCAAAGGGAGAAAGCCAAGGTAGTAGTCCAAGGTCAGCGACGACGAATGGGCGGCCAAAGGAGCAACATGCGGTGATACAAGGTTGCGCAATGGGTGAACATACCGAACAACGGCGAGGGGCGGGAACTTGGACAGGACGGAGATGGAGAGGCGGGCCCACCAGGGGTATTTTGAAAAGTTGTGGTCATCAGGTTTTTGGGGCAAACCCCAGGGATCGAGAAGCACGAGACGCTGAACGCGTTCCGGGTGGCGGAGGGCATAGTTACCGGCAATAAAGCCACCAAAGCTGTGGCCAGCTACAACCATTTGCTCAATGCCTTGGGCAGCACGCCAGGCCTCGATGGTTTCACAAATTTCGTCCTCGGCAGCGTCAGGGTCTTTTGAAAACTTGATTCGGGAGGAGTCGGCAAAACCGGGGGCGTCAATGGCATGAACCTGGTACCGTTGGCTCAGGGCCTCAAGAGAGAGATTCCATAAAGCAAGCCCACCCGCGAAACCGTGAATTAGCAGCAGGTGGGGAAGACCAACAGACTGCGCTCGTTCGACTGTCATGCCGTCGGCGTTTACGGCACGGTCAGAGCTCGGTCCATCTTGCGGGTGATAAGGGGGCATGGAGAGCGTGTTGATGTGATGGGGTTGGTCTTGATAGTCGAATTCAACCTGACGAAGTGTGAATGGATGCCGGAGGTGGGAAAGGATTCGAGCCTGGTAGTACAGCAGCAGCTCACGGCTCGTGCTAATCCAGCTCCACCACGGCGCTCTTTGAAAAAAAAAAAAAAAAGGGAAAAAAAGGAGAAGAAAAAGAAGAAGAATAATCAATGAACAGGTTAGCGCAGGACGGGGGGGCAAAGGTGTGGCAGGAGCGTAGCGAATGGTCATGTCGGTGCGAGCGATTGAAAGCGGGCCGTGCGATAAACTTGGCGTGGAGCGTCCACGACGAGCGGATGGGCGTACTTTGGCATGACGTCGAGCGCGGCGGGTTTGGCGGCACTACCAGCGCCACACTTGGCAGCGTCAACCATGGCTAAGATCCGTTTCTTGGAGGCTTCCAATGGCAGCAGCAAAGTTGCACGTTGTCGTACAGCCCGAGCAGCGGAAATGAAGCGCACGACACCCGATCGCGCACTCGACATTGGACCGCGGTTCCCAGAGAGAGAGCGCGTAGCGTGTGTGTGTGTGTGTGTGTGTGTGTAGGTGTGTATGCGTGCGTGCGTGGACAGCAAAGCCACAAAGATGCACTTGCAGCTCGCAAGAGAAATGCAACAAGTCTGCAAGCCACCCTCGGACCAGCTGCGCGCGCCAAGACCCGACCCCTCAGACCCCTCACTCCTCACTGACCCCGGACCAGCGTCGGCACACTCTCTCTCTTTACGTCGAAAGGAAAAAATGAGAGAGAGCTTGATTGACGTGATCCAACTCGAGGAAAATGATGACATTGGGTTAATGTCTTACTATACACACCTTTCGTAGTTTTGTTAATGTATACAGTGTTGGTATGATACGGTATATGAACACTTTGTGGTGCAGCTTGCCAAAGCACACATTGATCGCAGCTGCGCGGCACGATTCACGAGGTTACCTATGCCATCAGCAGATGACGGCAATGCCGCAGTCATATATTCATCTGACATCTGACATTGATCGAGAAATGTCAGATATTTAAGGTGTATCCGTTGACACACACAGCACCTCCTGTTGTTTGTTAAAAGCAATTTTTTTAGAGCTTTTCGTCATTTTTTTTTTCTCTCTCTCTCTCCCTCTCTCTCTCTCTCTCTCTCTCTCGCTCGCGTTTGATCGATCGACGACAGAGGAGAGCCCGAGGGGTGGTGGCGGTGGTGGGCTTTGGCTAATCGTGGTGGTCGTGTGATTTTTGAAGAGGCGGGTGGGGGTGGGAGCTTGTGAGTTTGATTGCATGCCTAGATGTGGCTGTGGAGTTGAGCTTTTGCTTGTTTCTACCAAAGGCTCTCCAGCATGGTGAGCTCGGGCTGGCGAACGGCCATCGGGGTGCTGATTGTGACTGGCATTGCCGTGGCTTGGGTTGGATCGACGCAGTACACCCAGAGTGCCTTGAAGGATGGCCACTTTGACGCGCCCTTCTTCTCCGTGTGGTATTCCACCGCCTTTCTGATCCTTCTCTACCCCATCACGTGGATCGTCATCACCCTCTACACCCAGACCACAACAAAATCACCAACCGGGTCGACACACCCTTCCTTGCACATGCCGCCACCCGGCGCGCCCTCCATCAATCACGAGCGCGATTCGCTGCTTGCATCACACACCGCTGTTGGTGCTGCTGCCGCCGCCGCCGCTGCCGCTGCTGCTGCTGCAAGCCCCTCCCTTCACGCTGCCATCCTTGACGATTTGTTGTCTCAGTTTGGTCGCACCCTCCCGGAATGGGCAGGCAAGGATGTCCTCCCAGCCGATGATCCCTCGGCCAGTCTGCCGCAGCCAGGCCCGCCGCGGCTTGCGACGGCCTTTTGGCGGCGATGGGTGGCGTATGATGGGCACCAGGCACCGCGAACGATTCAGGCCTTCTGTCTGACACTTCCCTTTGTGGTCTTGTGGGTTGGGGCCAACTACGCCTACTCGCGCGCTCTCATCTACATCAGCGCTACCGACGTGACGGCCATTTTTGCTGCCACACCTGCCATCGTCTATGTCCTCTCGCGTCTGGTTTTACATGAGCCATGGATGGCCATCCGCCTCCTGGCCGTGGCGCTCACCGTGGCGGGCGTGGTGCTCGTAGCCGTGGCTGAGCGCCTCCAGCATCTCAACCCCCAGGGCGTCCTCTTCACCGTCCTGGCCGCCTGCTGCGCGGGATCGTACAAAGTCTTGCTCAAAGTCTTCCTCCGCGATGCCAATGGCCGAGCCATCAGCCTTTTCATGTCCCTCTTGGCCCTCGCCAACACCCTCTTGCTCTGGCCTGTGGCACTCCTGTTGCAACTGCTGGGACCAGAAGCCTTTGTCTATGCCAGCGTCCCTTGGCCCAACGTGTCCATCGCTGCCTGCCTCTCCCTGTGTGTCAACTTTCTGATCAACTTTGGCATTGCCTTTACCTATCCCCTCTTCATCTCCATCGGCACCATCGTCGGCACCCCAATCAACGCTGTCGTGGACTACAAGGTCCACGGCATCATCCCCGCCCCCCTGCAAATCGCCGGCTGTAGCATCATCTGCCTTGCCTTTCTTCTCATGCTAACCAGTGGCACCAATCAGCACCGTCATGAGCCCTTCGATGTGACCCCTGCCCCTGCCGGCCCAAACAAGTCCCAACTGCCATCCTAGCTGCACCCTCTGCCTCAAGATGGGCAGCAGCCCCCGCACACTTAGAATAGTACTTAGCTTGATCCGCACAACATCCGAGATGTCCAACTGCTGGCGTGTTTTATGATCTCCCAGTGCCCTGCGAACATGTTTGTCCACCTGGCTGTCAATCTTACCCAAAAACTCGAATCCAATTCTTAATAATGCAGGTACTTTTACTTCTTGTCAGTCACGACACACCCGGGCTTCGGTCGCTTGGTCGCAGACCAAAGGAGCGAGGAAGCAATCAAGCCATCAAACAACAATCATACTTAGAGCGGAGTAGAGTCACCCAAGGTGTTGGCTTGAGGCAAAGAAATCTCCTGTTCTCCTTGACTCAGACCATCCAGATCATCATCATCATCATCATCCAGGTCATTCTCCCCTTCATCAAAATCCGGAACACTCAGCCGAGCAGCTTGAGTCGCCGCGTCCTGACTCCCATAGAGACTCTCAAAAAGCAGCGTTAGGCGGCGAAACTGGGACCCTTTCCAGACAATGCACCCACAGCTATCGCAGCGCCAAAATTCAGAAACACGGGCCAAGACTCGTGGAGGCATGATGCCCTCAAGCTGATCAGCCGACGGCACCTTGCGAAATGTGCCGTTACACTTGGTGCAACGGGAGAGGAACGAGTCAGGATCCAAGGCGAGCTCAAAGTGTTGTGCTACCTCAATAAACTGACTGCGAATGTCGGCACCATGCAATAGAAAGTGAGGCACGCCACGCAGCTGCTTGGCATACTTGTGACTGCACGTGATCACGGTCCGGCCCGCCGCACGCGCCTGGGCGACGACGGCCTTGACATCATAGCTCAAACACATGTCCGTATCCACACCGGCGCAACGTAGCCAGCGAGTGAGCCGGCCACACATGGCATCAGTCAGAAACCGCAGCTGTCCAACACCACCCACCGCCGATGCGGGCAACGCCACAGCCGACTGCGGCGCGCCCTCTTCAGCTAGTGCCGCAACAGCCATGGGTAGCACACCCTGCAACTGCTCAAAGCTAATCAGGAGCCGCATGTGGACATCCCCTCCACCAAATGTCAAGGGTGTGGCGTTCTGGGCGGCCACCCGCCCGTCCACAAGCACGGGACAAAGCGAACGATGGCCCACAGGCGGCAATGTACCTGCGGCAGCAAAGAAAAATGATGTGGGCAGGAAAACCAATTCTCAGATGAGATGCCGAGTTCAAACAAGGACAGTGCCCTGAGATTATGGATTGCACTTCTTTCCTTCAGGCACAATTTCAACCCACGACACTGCAAGGATCAAAATGCCGCACGCTTATTCCTACCAGGGGCATAGCCAAACACCGATATGCATTCGGCAGGCGAGGCCAAGCGGACGCTTCGCTTATGCACCCCAAACGCCGCTGCAACGGCCGGCTTGCTGGCGCGGCTGCTGCTCAACAATAGCACGACGACGGGCTGGCCGTTGGCGAGAAAAGCTACGCTCTTGGCACTTGTACCAGCTGCAGCCAAGCTTGCGCCCTCGACGTCGCCCACGTCGACCAGATGCACGTGCTTGGCAGTGTCCTTGGCGCTATCGGTGGCAGGCGCGGCCAAGGTATCGACACCTCGAATTTGCAAAAAGTTTCGCACGGACACGGTGCCCAAGGGCTGGTCGACGGGGACCGCAGGATCCCAATGCAGCTGCAAGGCCGCCAGGCGCTCTACCAGGCGATTAGCGGCGCCATCAGCATCTGCTGTCTGCGGGGCCACAACCAGCTCCTGAGTTGATGCAGCTGAACTTTGGCCAGCGGCCTCTTCACCAAGCATGACGTGGTGCGTGAGCGCGGACAACGGTGCATTGACCACCGGAAGGCGTTTGCCACGGGTTGGGGTGCGCGCTTGGAGGACTTCGGTCAGGCGGGACAGACGCTCCCGCACTTGTGAATCTGTGCTTGAGGCAGTACGTGTAAATTCATCGCAGGCGTGCATGGGTCCTGGCTCGGTCAGAAGGCGCTCTAGCAGCTTGACGCAGATCCAGGCGTCCAAGGCAGCGTAGTGAAGCTGACGCTTTGTGAGCGGCCGCTGGCTCCAGTCAGACATGCGATCGACCTTGTTAAGGTGGCGACCAAAGACTGTAGCGGTGAGACTACCTAGACTGGCACCCCAATCGGCGCAGTAGGCCTTGGCAGCGTGCTCAAGCTCAACAAAGGCGTGGAGTGCCTCAAAGCAGCGAGCCGAGGGCGCCGAGTGGCGGAGCTTGGTCATGTCGCCTTTAAAGGCAAAGCCGGTCTTGACCACGGTCTCATCTGTCCAAAGCTGGAGAAGCCAGGGGTCGTAGCTGCTGCTGGGCAAGGCAAGCGTATCGAGAATGACCAAAGCGTCCCGCGTCGCCAGTTGCAGAATGGCGACGGGCTCGTCGGCATGACTTAGCGTCCGCGGTTTCCACTCGGAATCAAGGCCCAGGATGGGCACGAGGCCGGCGGTGCGACTCACAGTCAGAGAAGTGGTGAGCGCCGTCTGAGCGTGAGCCAGAGTAGCCTCGTCGTGGGCAAAGATGAGGCGAGCGGGAAAGAGGGCAGAAGGCAGTGACACGTAGGTTCGGGCGTATTGCTCGCGATGTTGTGCAACATCTTGTTCAGAGACGTGCACCTCCTTCTGAAGCCCGAAGCGATCGCGGTATTGAAGGGCGAGGTCAAACTCATCGAGACTGAGGAGGGCCTCAACAAAGGGCTGACGCAGATCATCCCGCTTCTGGGCAACCGCAGCTGCCAGTTCGACTAGGCCCTTGTCGAGAAAATCAGTCATCTTGGACTCGTGATACTGCCGCCGAACGGTGGGGAAGGCGTCGTGCAGGGAAAAGGTTTCAACGGCGCGATTGGCGAGGCGCAACTGCTGGCGATCAAGACAGGCGCGCACCAAGGCGGCCGGGACGGCGGGGTCATGCGGACCGATGCGCTCGGCCAATTCAAACGCCACCTCAGCCGCACTATTCTCGAGGAGGAGCTCAAACAGATTTGGCGCGGCCTGTAGTCCGACTTTGAATTGAATCATGAGGCGGGCGGCTGCGGTGAGCCAGCCCTTGACAAACTTTTCACGCCCGATGTAGGCGGTATAGTCACCCACCAGGGGGCCAGTGCCCGGAGTCGGGGTCGGACCAGAGGTCGAGGGAGACGCTGCGGCTTGGCCTTGAACAGCAGCGCGCGCGGCGCGCATGTCAGCGGGCCCACCCTCAATGGGCGTCCAGTGGGCCCTAAGATTTTGATAGAGAGACACGAGGGTGTCCACGTACGAGGCCAGCAACTCACCGCTGATCTGGGTACGCTTGACCTTGCAGGTCTTGGCGATGCGCTGGAGGGCGGCTGGGGTGAGAATTCCGTACTGCCAGAGGGCCAAGGGATCTGGTGCACCCGGGTCTGAGGCATCTGGGGTGCTTGTGGGTGAAATTGCTGCGGTGGTCGTCGCAAGGCCAGCGGATGCGGTGGGCTCGAGGGTTTGGCAATGTCGAACAAACGCCTGGGCTTGTTCATCTAGGAGTGCACCCACTTGGGCCTGAAGCTGGGCAGGGAGTGATTTGGCCAGGGGACGCAGGATGACATTGAGGACGTTGAGGGTGCGGTTCTCATCGCCGAGGTGGCGGGCACTCAAGGGAAGTGCGGCCAGCATTTGAACGGCTCGTGCCTGTGTCTCGAGCAAGGGCTTTGTACGAATGCACTCCAAATCCAAAAGAGCCTCGGCCACGTGATTCTGCTTATAGTGCACGCAGAGTGCGATGATCACGCCAAGCATGGCTGGAGCATCGCCCGCCACGCAGGCGGCCTACGCTCAACAGAGGAAGCAAGAAGGCAGCTTAACACCCGTGGCTCGGACACACAAAAAGGCAGCCAAGCAGCCATGGCCACTCACCTCCAGCTGGGCGCATTCCTCTGGCGTCATTTTACCGGTCACCATTATCAGGCGCCTTCCAATGTAGCTCGGTCGGTCGCTCGGTCGATCAAGGAGTCAAATGCAACCACCGCCCCAATCGGCCCAGCACCCAACGCTAGTGTACAAACCAGCCCGCCACACCTTGCCCCTGATCATCATCAACACCAACAGCAACACGAGTAGTAGGAGTAGTAGTGCTGGTGGTGGTGGTGGTGGTGGTGGTGCAGGCCCGTCACTGCCAAATCAAGACGCAACGTCTCTCTCTCTCTCTCTCTAAATCTCTCTCTCTCTCTCTCTTCAAAAGTTACGCCATCACACACACACACACACACACACACACACACAAGAGAGAACAGAACAATTTATTGTCAGCAAATCATCTATTTTTATGTCAAGCGGACAGGCTATTTGCGGAGGATGGTCCGGGCGGTGCGCGCGATCCCTTTTGAGCGAGAGAGAGAGCGAGAGAATGCGGTGTCTGGCTGTCGCCCTGGGCCTGGGCCTGAGCTTGGGCATGGTCGATTGGGTGGCTGGTCGTGCCGTGCTGGATTTCGAGTTTAAAGCGCCGGAATGGTTCGAGGGCGAGGTCTGGGAGAGTCAAGATCCGGCTGATATCCGCGACGTCTTGCTGCTCAACAACGTTTCGACCATTGGCATGAAGCAACGGCCTTTGCTGCGTTCAAGCCAGAACATCAGCCCAGATCAACTTGATGCGGGGGTGTGCATGAGCGACGACAGCTCGTCCTCTTTCAAAGCGGCCTGTTTGCCGTCCTTCCTCATCATTGGGGCCATGAAAGCGGGTCAGTCTTGATTTTGATTTTTCAACCGCCGTGTGTGTCTGTGCGAGTGTTCTGTTTGCTCGTTGTCAACAGCGTCAACTACGTCAGGTCCAACCATGGGGTTATTGCTGCATTCCTTGTTCGTCAAATCATCTCAAACTGGGTTCCTTGGTTGATTCAGGCACGGGCGAGCTAGCCGCCTGGTTGGAGCAAAGCCCGCTACTGAGGCGGTACACCAACTTTGCCAACCCCAATTGGCACGGCGAGGCGCACTATTTTGATTACATTCGTACGTCGCTCTTGAGCTCGTGAGCCCGTGCTTGCGATCGTTCTTGGCTAGGACCTGGCCTCATTCCCCTTCTGTTCAAACGCATTGACGACGTCCGCGCACGTAGGGCCGACCGAGTCTCTAGAGGACACCTGGCGCTCATATTTGTGGACAGGCCCAAAATACGAGTCCAAAGATCAGCTACGCACCACCCACTCGTTTGACAAGACACCAAAGTATGTGCTGCGTCAATTGGGGCGTGTTAATCGGAAGCGCACGCTTTTCTGACCGGGAGATATCTTGGTTCAGAATCGTTTTAACGTTCGTCACCCGATGATGAGCCATTCAAACTCACTGTCGCGTGTGTGCCTCCGTTTGCCTTAGCTACTTGCTGGCTACTGAGGCCCAATTAGAAATGATGCATCGACTATTGCCCTCGGTGCGCATGATCGCCACCCTTCGTAACCCAACGTAAGCAGTTCCGTCCGTTGTGACACACGAATTTCTTTCCAGCATTGTAGGCTCGCCGGCATCGAGTCAACTATGTCCCACCAGCTTGTCTTAACCTGGGTTGGGCAGGGATCGCGCCTTCTCACAGTATCAGCAAGAATGTCGCCAAGGCTTTGTTTTGATTGGAAAAAGCCCGGCCGTCAAAGGGAGGGTTGTGTTTGCCCGCAGGCCCGATTGGGCTTTGCACACTGCCCAACGCCTGGGCCTGGCCAACGTCAGCAAGGAGGACTTTGAAACTGCTACATTCCCGTGTTCCAACGACCATTTTCTTGCCATGCTCATGGGCAACGGGACCGGGCCTGACATTGACCTCAGCCGCAGCTTGGCCTTTCGCATCATCTCCACTGGCTATTATCGCGAACAACTGGACCGAGTGCTCGCATTGTATCCACGCAAACAGCTGCATGTTCTTCTCCACGAGGCGTTTATGCACAACCCCATCGCGGAGATGGAAAAGATTGAAGACTTTCTCGGTGTGCCCCGCATGCCTTATGCCAACATGACCAGGATCACAGATTCGGGCTTTATCGCGCTGAAAAACGTGCGCAGCAAAGCGGACAAGCTTCGCTACGAGAAGCTCAGCCCAAGCACCCGCGAAAAGCTCGACCGCCTCTACCGCCCCCACAACCAAGGCCTGCTGGACTTTTTTGACAAGGAACAGCTCCGAAAAGCCTGGCACATCTCCCTCTGATATCAAGTGGCCTGGTCTGATCATATGAATTGTACCTATGAAATAAGGCGGCGGATCGAGCGACGCATCGCAACCTGCATGCCTCTGAGGGGTAGGTCATCAGAATCGTATTCGCTGAACTATCAGATGTTTTCCCATGCTTCTGTGCGCAAAAGCTCTCTTTCTACACTACTCATAGTCGTTGTAGGTAGTAAGTAGTACGTGTCGGTAGTAGTACTCGAGAGTAGTAGGTAGTAGATTGTAGGTCGTAGATAGTATAGGTGGTCCGTGGTACGTGGTCCGTGGTACGTGGTCCGTGGTACGTGGCGTGTGTGTGTGCGGAAGAGAACCTCACAAGACCAGAATGTCAGCAAATCATCAAGCTTTGCATGCATCCAATCATTTTGAGAAGCGAAGGCGGCTTGAAACGTTATTTTTTTTATTTTTTCCTTTTCAAAGGGCGTGTGGATGTCGCGCGACTCTTTGAGAGAGCGAGAAAATGCGGTGTCTGGCTGTCGCCCTGGGCCTGGGCCTGAGCTTGGGCATGGTCGATTGGGTGGCTGGTGGTGCCGTGCTGGATTTCGAGTTTGAAGCGCCGGAATGGTTCGAGGGCGAGGTCTGGGAGAGTCAAGATCCGGCTGATATCCGCGACGTGTTGCTGCTCAACAACGTTTCGACCATTGGCATGAAGCAACGGCCTTTGCTGCGTTCAAGCCAGAACATCAGCCCAGATCAACTTGATGCGGGGGTGTGCATGAGCGACGACAGCTCCTCCTCTTTCAAAGCGGCCTGTTTGCCGTCCTTCCTCATCATTGGGGCCATGAAAGCGGGTCAGTCTTGATTTTGATTTTTCAACCGCCGTGTCTGTGCGAGTGTTCTTTTTGCTCGTTGCCAGCCTTTGGAAGGCTACGTCAGGTCCAACCATGGGGTTATTGCTGCATTTTTTGTTCGTCGAATCATCTCAGACTGGGCTCCTTGGTTGATTCAGGCACGGGCGAGCTAGCCTCCTGGTTGGAGCAAAGCCCGCTACTGAGGCGATACACCAACTTTGCCAAGCCCACTTGGCACGGCGAGGCGCACTATTTTGATCACATTCGTACGTCACTTTTGAGCCCATGTACCGGCTTGCACTTGCTCTCGCTGGTGCCT